CGGGGACTTAATGAGTTTTTTAACCTGCACATACCGCTGTGGCACTGAACCAAATGCCAAGTGTGGCAGGCAGCGCAGAGTGCGCAAATTATTTACTAAAAATATTTGCACGTCGTTGGCGACAGCGATACGAGTGTGCCACAGACAGAGGCGGAGGCGGAGACGCAGGAGGGGGCAGTATGTATAAAGAAAAGAAGTCAAAGGCGAGCTAGCGAAAAAGTATGCGTGAAATGAAGATGCGAGAGAACGCATGGAAGGAACACGACTAAGCGGCCATTCGACCAACCAACCTTTGTGGCTCCGGCAACAAAGTCGGTAAGATGGGGCGTATGCGCAACGCAGCGTCTAATCACTCTCAAGTGAGCTGTTAAAGGTGCAAAACTTAAAATGGAATATTTGATTAGACACGGCAAGTGCTTGCTCAAATATGTGAGGCATAATAAAATGTCAAATAAGACGCAACAAGGACTCCATCGGGTTGAAGTAACTAAGAGTCGCATTAACACTAACGACTACATAGGAGGACTGACGGGCGGGGGGGCAGGAAGACAGTCTGTGTGTCAAGACAATAAAGGATGGGTCGGGAGGTATGCCATGCATATGATAAACAGCGGAAAGGATGCACAGGATAGCAAATACTTTCGTTTATGCGAGCCGAGAGTGTGAGTCTGGGGACGCATTGTTATTATTGTGGTTCAGTTTGGTTTTCCGAGTTTAGCGAACTCCGAGCGCAGACGCTTGTCTAGCTGGCCAACAGTCTGACTGCTCCTTTTGTTCCTTTGTGTCTGAAAGGAAGTCGAGCGAGCAGAACGATGGAAAAAATTAAACACTGCACACGCTATATGCGAGTCTAAGCCATGTCCGATTTACGCATTTGGCCAAAATGCATAGCCATGGCGCATTAATGAAGATTTAGGAATTTCTTTTGTGGCTTGTCGCACTTAAGCCAATGCTGCTGCGCTCTGCAATTTATGTTGCATTTGGCTAATTTGATGCTTATGTGAATTTTACAAATTTATGACCTCGCCACAGCTGTTGCTCCACTCCACTCCACTCCACTCGTCCTCGTATATCCTCGGGCTACGCAGCTGCATTTCAATTACCGTTAAGGAGTCGTTGCGAACATTTTCCTGGTGGCATTTCGCTCTTTGAAACTAAAATAACAACTAAACAAGACGTGGAGGGAAATTTGCATAAATATCTGCATTCTCATTGCAGCACAAGTACATTAACATACAATGCCGGCTACATAATCACCAATGTGAAGCACTCTGAATTAACGGTAATTATAGTACAGACATATTTACAATTATGTATGCCTGTTTGTACTTCTTAGGTAATTAAATGCTGATGTGCAGCAATGATTAACTGCGCACTGTTGGCAAAATAACTGTCAGCTCTATGCATACAAACGAGTATACATATGTACATATGTACATACATACATACATATGCTCGTATGTAAGTATATACATTTGTAAACTTTATTCACATTAAATACGCTTCCACACACAAACATGCAAGTTGGCACTTAAACACCCACGAACACTAACTCCAATATTGTTGTTACAGACACTAAGACGAACTCAGGTCTAGGGCTGGATTATCTTTCGGGAAACCCCACCATTTTTTTGCAGTGAAAATTCGGCAAAGGAAACGGTACGATGAAAAAGTTTCTCAGCTTTGATTTTTATCGCACTTTTCGTTCGTCTTTAGAAATTAAGGATATATATAAATTTGGTCATTATTCCCTATGAAAAAGGCAGGGACAAGGCAGGGTTCGTCTTTAGAAATTAAGGATATATATATATAAATTTTGTCATTATTCCCTATGGAAAAGGCAGGGGCAATTAAAAACAAGTAAAGTTAATCAGTAAATTTTGAGAGAAGGTATAACAATTAAAATTTATAAATCACGATGAAAAGGCATAGATAATCCTATAAAGAGGATATTGGTAAATTTCTCGCTTTCACAAAGGTAATATAAGTGAATGATTTGTTCATTAAAAAAAACAACAACAAAAATCATTATATGTATGTATATGCAAACAAGTCCAATCAAATGAAGAACTCTCTGGTGATGACATGAATGTGATAGTCGTTTGGAGTAATTTGTTTATTGTAGAATTTGTTTGAGAAATATTTCAGAAATAAAAAGGTGTTCCGAATTTTAAATGTTGTTTGATGTCTTTGAAAACGATTCTTTGAAACCTTAACTTAAAAGAGTTTAAAACGTGAATATTCACCAATAATGTTGAGAATGCATATTTTGAGGAGACGGCGTTGCAGTTCCAAATCTGCAGCCCTGGCGGCCACAGAGCAGTCTCAATTGAAAAGCATTTCTAATAATGTGTTTGGTGTTTTAAATGTTGTTCGATATCTTTGAAACGTTAACTTAAAAGAGTTTAAGCCGTTAATATTCACCAATAATGTTGAGAATGCATATTTTGAGGAGCGGACGGCGTTGCAGTTCCAAGTCTGCAGCCCTGGCGGCCACATAGCAGTCTCAATTGATGTGCAGCGCAAGACAATTAATTGTCTATGGCAAGCAGTCTAACGCAGCATGAATGCAAGTAGACACATACATACGTAATACGTATATACACACATACATATGTATGAATGTGTGTGTACACATATTTACATGAATAAAAGTACATGAGTGCATTCAATTTTGTTAGCTGTAGCAACGTGAGAGAAAGTTGCAGTAAATTGCCACTCATGTGGCCATTCCTCACACGATGCTTTCCAACACGTGAGAACAACACTGCGTCCCAGGGACTTCCATGCCGACGCCAAAGCCGACGCCAACGCCGACGATATGTACTTAGCAAGTTACTGCGCACTTGATGGAAAGCACGCACTTAAATAAATGAAATCCTTTCACAAGACATTGCGACATAACAATACATATTTTGAATATTTAGCGCGCGGCCCCCAACTATGCCCAGAATTATGAATTCATTTATAATAATTTAGTTTGAGGTACATTGAAACACACTCAAGCACAAATCCCATAATGAGCATATTCTATTAGACTCATGCAGAAGTTACCCTCCGGCCAAGGTTGGTGGCGCATACATACATACATACATATGTACATATTTGGGGGTTGTTATCGGCCGTGCTGGAAATTAACAAAACAAATCCCGGACACATGTTGCATTCAAATGACAGCGCCGGCACGGCATGGGTAATGCCCTGTTTTGACAAACCCCAAATCACCAAAACTGATGATGAAAAATTCGTTTGAAGATGATAAACATTTGCACCCGCAACCACCGGCCGACAACTCCGGCGACAACGATGACGAAGCCATCTGAGCACCGTCGACCGACGGCTGACTGAATGACTGACTGACTGACTGGCTGGCTGACTGCATTTACCTAAACAAGCAACCACCCAAGAACCATTGCGCAAAGGGGTTTGCGGAGGTGGTGAGAGAAGGAAGTTGTAAACGGGTATCAAGAGCTTTAGGCGCGGGGCGAAGGCAACCCTAACATAACGGCATGTACGTATTTGTGTTCCAATGTACGATAGACAGCCTGCATTTTTGGGGATTGATAAACGACACGCAAAAGCAGAGCTCACGAAACCAGACTAGACCGAGACGGCGTATATTTATTTAGCATAATGGATTCCATCATTTTGGAGTTGCGGTTTCATACTCGAACTCGTATAATTGAAAATCGAATCAAATCGCGTGAAATTTAATCAACTTAGCAACACTTCTGCTGAAAAACGAGCAGCTGGCCAACAGCCGAAACCGAAACCCAAACCCACAACACCCAACCACCCGAAGCAGCTGAAACTCCCCAGTGATTTGACTCTATTTTGGAATCCGGCACTGATATCAGGAAATGGAAAATTAGCGCAAATCCCAGTGATAAACTTGCGACTACACATATTTGCGTTGAATTGAGTTACTAATGGGATAAAGACAAAGGAAGAAGGCAGGACGCTTCTGTCGGTGTTATCCGACTATCGGATACCCTGTAAAGTTTCCGGACGATTAAATTGAGACAATTTTTTTGTTCAATATACTTACCAGTTATCTTCATTCAGCACCCTAGTTTTTATTTAGGTGTAATGTAGAGAGATTGAGCTCTTACGTCCTTCTTGTGCATGGGCACCTTCTCAGGAAAATCAAGCATAAGTTTCTTATTCGGCTTAGTTACTAATTATATAATTTCTATAACTGAATTTGATTCAATATTTTTTCAAAAGTGTTCCTAAAGGTAAATAATTTAACGTTTTTTGGAATTGAGCGCAATAAACATTTTAGATTCCGAAAAATGTGATCGAATTGAGAAACCGAAACCGACTTGAGGTTTCTTATGTGCTTGTATTGTTTATTCTACCTTGAAATGTGGTTGACTCTTTCGGTAACATGTGAGCATTTAAAATTGTACCATTATTACAAACTTCATTATTTTGTGATTATATAAAAATTAAAATTATGAATTCTGCAAATTCGCGTTGCGAAAAAAGTACGACACTACAAGTTAGGATAGAACTAGCTTACAAGTAGAGGGTATACAATGTCGGATAGAGTAATTGCGGGCTGTAAGAAAAGAGCTGTTTGTCTCTGGCTACTTAGCGAATACCGACATACAGGAAGACACACAACACACACACACACACACAAAATAAACTCGCATGTGTATGTGCTCTTTAATGCAGGTTTAATGCGTCGCTGGACTTGGTTTGACACCCACCCACCCGTGCAGACGGAGGGACTACGCGATGCCCATTTCCCATTAGTTGTGCATTTGCGTGTTTGGCGAGCAAATAAGTGCGAGACTTTGGAGGGGGTGGGGACGGAAGTGTTGTGTGCGCTGCAGCCGGACCTAGAGCTGCGTCGGCCCAGCCAGAAGTTGTCCATGTTTATGACCATTTTCAGGAAATTAAGCACGCTTGAGCACTGTAAGCGGCTTTTGTAGGGCTTGACGTTGGCTGTCCACATGCCAGGCAGCTACTTACTAAACTCTCTGGAGTTATTCTGTATTCGCAATGCTTTCATTGATGGCCATTTATTTGATATCATGTGTAATGTACATACATATGTATATGGGTATGTATAATGGACATAGGGTCTGCCCTCTGTAATCAGCTAAGCAGATTTGCATGACAGCCATCTGGCAGGCTTTGACATTTAATAGTCAGCGCTCACTTAGTAGAACGACGTCGGTTGTTGGAGAACATCCGCAGGTATTTGGTGCGGGATAACTCGCGGGCCTCGCGCTGACTGAGCTCGTAGAGCTGTGTCTCCAGATCCTCTATGTAGGCGATAAGAGCAGGCGGTGGCAGACGACTTAGCTCTGGAGAAAGACGTGGGTTAAGCTGCCGATTGGTCTGACTTACTTGTAGAGCGCTGCGGGCAGACACTTACCCAACATCTTTTCCTCGTCCTCTTCGCTGAGTTCGCAAATTTTCTGGCTACTCTCAGTTTCCATGCTTTCTCCTTCGTCACCATTTGAGGAGGCGACAGCTGCATTTTTGCTAGTTGTAGGACCTTCATCCTTTTCGTCGCTATCCTCATTCGATGTTGAATAAACCTCAACCTTTTTAATTACATTTTTGGCTTTACGGCTCATATTAATTGTACGAAGACGACCAAATATGAAGGAACACTCGGAAAAAGATTGACACATAACAGTGACAGTTAAAAACAGAGCTGATTTTATGTTTGCAGCGTTGCCACCTGTCAAGTTTTAAAATTTAATGTCGGCCCATTATTTCATTACTTCACAAAACTTACTCGCAAATACCTACTCAAGAAAATTCCACTAAGATCTATTATAGTTCAACATTTGGTTGGTAAAATGCCAATTCATCTAAAAATCATCACACCTCGCATTAATTTTCCACTTCTAACTAACTCTTCGCTGAGGTCAATTCTTCAAAAATAAAATAATTTCTTAAACTTATGTCTTAATTAAAGAGAGCTCATAAATATACACAAACCATCCTGAAGGCTTTAGTTGCTCTGGCTATAAACTAGCATTGTAATTTGGTATCAATTCTATGAAACAATAATGTAAAAAAATAAATAAATTTTAAAACTTTTTAAAATTTTCGATTATATTATATAACTAGCGTATCCGATTTGCGTTGCTGCACCACTGAATTATAGTTATTTTTAAGCTTTCCCACGTCGCTTTTTATGGCTTCTATTAGATCCTTGATTATAATTGGGCTCCCACCGTCGTCCAACTTTCTTCGTCTGTACGAAGGATATCCATAGTTTCTTGGATCAGATGTGGATGCCCTTTCGCGCATTTACCGAAGCCGCGAGTCCAATTTTTGTTCCTGATTCTATGGCTCTAGACGTAGATGCCCTTTGCAAACGAAATTCGGGTTCATAGGCATTTTCAGCTTTTCTTTTTTCGCTCTTCTTTTTTGATTTTCTGATTTTTTTTTGGTAAGGTTGTTTTTTATTTACGGATGAAACACTGAAAAACTGTCAAACAAATGAAAATGAGCAGAAATAAGCCAGAAAATTGTGGTTGATCACTTTGAACACGAAACTTCACAGATACACCCATTGGCCTATTTTGAATATTGCCACAAAATTTGATCAAAATCGGTTTAGCTGTTTCGGAGTCTATAGGGAATATACATATATACAGATAGATTTTGCTTTAAATTTTATTTGTGTTTTTCAATACATAATCAGATTATTTTGTCTTATTGTAAGAAAATGTGGTTAAGAGTCCTAGAAGTCCTTCTTAAAATAATCGATTGAATTTATTTACATTTTTAGCAGTTAAGCGATAGAATATTTGGTTTTAAGGAAACCTTCTTGATCAGACAGTCATACACTATGAGTTTGATTGACTTTGTTGTCAACGCCTTTTTCAGAGTTATGAATACATATAGCATATACAACAAGCATAATTAAAGAGACACTAAGACACAAGCAGCTAATCTGAGAACTCAGACATCTTCGTAGTTAACATTCTTCAAAATATTATGTTTCCCTTTACTAAAACTAAATTTGAAAGAGTTATCCCACTTTTTCTTTCTGGCTGTTGCCTTTTCGGTTCGATTTCCTTTTGCTAACATTAACTAAAATTAACCTTTAAAGCCTTCCAAGTTGAATTGCATGGCCAATTCATATCAAAACCTGTCACTGCCTTAATGACGCAACTCAACTGGCAATTCGAGAGTTTCATTACAAATATGATAAATTCGCAAGTGAACTTTATCAGACCTCCGACCTCAGCCAATGGCACTAAACACCCTTTTGGCGGAAAGGACATTAGCTATCTGGTGAGGCTGTTAGCTTTTATAAACCTAGCAAACCCCAATCAAACCCCAAACCATTAACTCCAATTTGTTGGCACATAAAGCCAAAGTGTACCCATTTATATTTTCAAACAAAAACAGTTTTAACGCGGCACATGGCGAACAGCGCAGTCCGCACCCAAATGTCCTCAGCTTCCTGCATCCGAGCCAGCCGTGCGCCACAAATTTTGCTTAATGAGCTGTACAAAATTAATTGTCGCAATGAAATCACGCGCCCAAAAGACCCAAAGCTCCCTTCGTACTTGTGTCCGTGTCCGGGCTAAACAGACGCCCCGGCACGGCAGAGCAATGGGGCCGGAAGCGTCATATTGGAATTGGCGGGTTGATTTAAAAACGCAGTTTAGTTTGTTATGCAAATTTGGAGCGCAAAATAACTTGAGTGCAGTCATTCCAGGTTGATATAAAGGAGTACACTGAGAGAAAAACGGGACGACTATAAAAAGTTAATGAAGGTAAAAATTATGCAAATTTGGAGCGCAAAATAACTTGAGTGCAGTCATTCCAGGTTGATATAAAGGAGTACACTGAGAGAAAAACGGGACGACTATAAAAAGTTAATGAAGGTAAAAATTATGCAAATTTGGAGCGCAAAATAACTTGAGTGCAGTCATTCCAGGTTGATATAAAGGAGTACACTGAGAGAAAAATGGGACGACTATAAAAAGTTAATGAAGGTAAAAATTATGCAAATTTGGAGCGCAAAATAACTTGAGTGCAGTCATTCCAGGTTGATATAAAGGAGTACACTGAGAGAAAAACGGGACGACTATAAAAAGTTAATGAAGGTAAAATTCCGAATAAAGATCATGGACCGCATCCGTAATATTTAATTTTTTGAGCACTCTTACAGAATTTAAGACTGCAAGTCATTTTAAATCATAATTATGCGATGATGGTAGCGCCGTGATTCGAACTCTGCTAATGGGATTTCTGCTTGCTCGTTGAGCTATACCAGGCCCGACTTATTTAATGAATTACTTTACTGCATTTTTTAGATTGATTGCATTTTAGACTGAGATTTCAAAGCTTATTTTTATTTATGATTGCCGTTTGTTGATTTGTCTCTGCTGACCGCTTGTGATGACTATTTGATAAAAATCTAGTGTTTTAATATTTTTTGGCAGAGTAAACAATGCACAACATTAATTTCTTCAACCAACATTCTCGTTTTTATTTGTCAACTACTAATTTTTTTTTTGTGATTGCGATTGCCATTTTTTCTAATCGCAATCACAAATCAGAGCATTCAGCAGAATACATCAGTAATCATCAATCACAAAACGCTACAACCTGCAAAATAGATGCAATTGAAAAGAAATGCTTCACTTTACATTATTTTTTTTTACTGTGTAGCAAGCGTTATGAGCCCGTGGGATTATGTGCTGAAAAGGCGCCGCTTTGGCCGCAGTTAAGAAGCCGTGCAAAACAACTTTCAGCAACTATTACCAACCGTTTTCGAAGGACTCAAATTCTTGTAAACAATCCATCATTAACATGTGCACACATATAACTCGACTATGGCACATACTCATAGGTGTGTATGGATGTATATAAAGCCACCCTACACTGTGATTCGGGGGAGTCGAACACGCGGCACGTGGGTGATTCCTCTGGCCAGGCCGATGCGCACGTGTCTGTCTTCATACGCGGCGGCTTATTGCCATTGCCAGGCGACGATGGGGAGCGACGTCGCACAGTGGGGCCTTATGACTTTTTTCGTTGCAAAAATCATATCTCCTGAACGGATGAAGCAATTTTCGTCAAACAAATTTTACTTAAAAGAAAAATTCTTATTCTTCTTTTTCTTGAAAGTTTATACAATTAAAGAAATATGTATATGTATTAGGAATATATTTTGAAAATATCGGAGAGAGAGGTACTAAACGGTCCTTTTTTTTATTTTCCACCAGAAAATACCGTAAGAATAGGTAGTTTGCAAAATATCTTTTTCTAGAGAGCTTCAAATTCATAAGACATATTTTTATTTAAATAATGTATAAAACTAATACACAGAGCGAGGTAAATCAAAACATCAATGATTTGTCATATAATTTGGCAAATATAATACCAGAAAGATCCTGTATTTGCATTAAATTAAGTACATCGTTCCGGACTAAAAAAAAGCGGTCAACTTTGAGTGCACATACATCTCCTAAACAGTGCTGCCTTTTCAGCTTTTTTCCCGCCAGATCTGGATTTTTATACTCTGTACATGAAATGTACAGAAGTATATTAGGTTTGCGGGAGCTGAAAAATGTAACAGGCAGAAGGAGGCGTGGCAGACCCCACAAAGTGTATATATTCTTGATCAGCATGACGAGACGAGTCGATCTAGCCCTGTCAGTCTGTCTGTCTGTCTGTCTGTCTGTCTGTCTGTCTGTCTGTCTGTCTGTCTGTCTGTCCGTCTGTCCGTCTGTCCGTCCGTATGAACACCTGGATCTCAGAGACTAAAAGAGATAGAGACACCAAATTTTGCACAAAGATGCGTTATGTGTGTATTCTATACGAGTTTGTTTTATTTTTTGATTTTCTATAATTATTGTAAACATATGTACAAAGTATTTCAAAGTCGGGACACCCGACTTTAGCTTTTTTACTTGTTACTTTTACTTTATTTTTCACCACATATTTTTTTATCTTTATCAAATCTCAAAATCATAAATATTAGTACCGATAAACGACTTTCGATAATCAAATCACCTCGAGGATCGAGCAGCAGCTGTTTCTTTTATAAGTTTATCTTCGCCGCTTTAAGAAATGTCTTTATTTTCTATTATTATTTTTACAGAAATCTCATATTCTTATTCTAAATCATGAAATAAGAATTTAAAATGAATAGGAATACATTAAAACAGATATTTCCTTAAATTTAACCAAAACAATCGTGTTTTTAAAACCAGCTTTTTTGAAGCTTATTTTGCCTGGATTTAGCTTTTTTTACCTTTATTTTTTTGACAATCTAGCTTGTTTTGCTCAAAAAATTATGGCAGCACTGCTCCCAAACTATTATAGTTTCGATTTCTTTGAGAGTAAGACTTTTTTAATCACTGTGAAATGTATTATACGTTTAACCATAATCACCGAAACGTTCATGAAATTTTTGATTTTGGCAAGCTGTTTCGGCTTAAGGCTCCACAGTGCGCCGAGTGTATGCCGACCACACAAAGGACGCTTGTTTATTTCATTGTTCGCATGTGTTTTTCCTGCTATACTATATACAAGTATGTATGTGTATTACTATATACATGTATTTATATATATGTATGTGTTTATGTTTTGCTTTTAC